CCATAAATTATTTATATTTATGAATTTGTGTGTAAATAACTAAATGTATTGACTTGGTTTTCGTAAATCTATCTATTACTATATAATAGCAATATGGAAAATATAAAAATAGCATGACAATTACCGCCCAAAATTTTGTTTTTTACTACTAATAGATTTTTTTTTTTTTTATTTCTCCCGCCCATCACATGTTTTCAATTGCGAAATTTATTCCAAATCACTATGGGGGTGATTGGATATGAATTCAAGTAGTAAAAACTAATTTTTTTTAACTATAGTTAAATTTGAAAAAAAGTAATATGGTTACTTGTTAGTGGATATATTAAAATAATATTTAAAATAAAATAATTAAAGTTGTTTGATATAAAACTAGGAGAAAATGATTGAAAGTGATGGGTAGTTAATATTATGTAAGTGGATGAATAGTTAATTAAAGTTGATGTGATGTGTAAGATTGATTGGTAATTATATTTAATTATATTGATGATATTGGAGATAGTGGAGTTGAGTCAAAGTTGAGTTAAATTTAAGCTTTGATTGATTTTTTTACTGTTTGATTCATATCTAATCGCACCCTATATATCCAACCAAAGCCCTAAATTTGATATATATGTTTGAAAATTTGTGAATTTTTAAGCTTGCCCATCGTCTTGCGGATGTTCCGCGCTTTCAGGCCTTCAGGGCCATCCAGTCTCGGGATTTACCTCAACACTCGGGCACTTATATAGGCCAGTCGTCTCTTCGCTTTGGTCAGTAAGCTTCGTAGCAATAGCTCGCCTCAGTTGTAGCTAAAGCTTCGAAGCAGGATCTAAACCTATAGTGAAAAGAAAAGCTCCCCCGGTGTGTCCGGTTTGATCCAGTTCCAGGATTTTTATGGAGGTATGGAACCATAGATTGGTCGCATCCCGATAGTCATCTTACTAGAATTTTGAAATATATATTACTTTGAAGATTTGTGTATCTTCAAACAATCAATTTTTTTTATCTAACCAATCAAATAAAAAAATGGAACATATATATTAAAATTCTTAACAATTTTAGTGTTATCTGAAATTTCAAAATATTAAAATTCTTTCTTAACGAGATTAATAATCTATTTTTTAACAACTTAAACAATTTTAAAATATTAAAATTCTTAATCATCCAATTTTTTTTTTTAATAATAATTTTCCAAGTTAGAGAAATTCTTATTACATGTACAATAAAAAAAATTGTTTGAGAAAATTGAAAAAATAAAATTGGGTATACTATCTCTCAAAATATATTGTCCTTATTTTTCTGTGCAACTTAATTACTCTTTAAATCGATCGATCAAGATCTTACTATGCAAAAAATATGGATTCATATTTATCGACTTTAAAAAAATATATATGCCACGAACAATCGAATGTACTAATATAAGTACATAACATGTTATTTGGAGCAAATATATTTTACAGAATTAAATAGAAAACAATAACCACATTCCTAAATATGATTGTGTATGTGTGTGTAAATATATAAATATTATATTTTGACTAATAAATTAAACAATTATAATTAGTTTATCATAGGCATACATCAATGTCATAAGCATATTTTCTTGGATACATTTCATTTTATTTTAACATACATATAATCACATTCCTAACAAACATTAAATTTGCTTATATATTTTAAAATTAGTAACATCAATAAATGATATTAATATACATTAAATACTTATCATTATATAAAAAAGAATATTACTTATATAAGTGTTAAAAATAATAATGATATTGTACGACAATAAATTTTTAAATAACATAATATTTGAGTATTATGATGAATCAAAATATGTATAGTTATTTTTATTGTGTATTAAAAGATAAATATATATGTTAAAATATTATTTATATTAATACAAACGGGTCAGCGGACTAATATATTATTAAATAAAGTTTTAAAATGTTCTAAGGTACGAAACCCCCGTGCATCGCACGAGATTCTCACTAGTTATCCATAAATATGTTGATTATTTATGGTCATGTTACATATATGAATTGCATTTTAATATCATTTCTTATTATAACCATTGAATGGTAAATGTATTTTAAAAGTTAATAACTTTTGTATTTTTTATCAGTTTTATATATAATGTATAAAATTAATCATCTCTTGATGAGATTCGATTTAACATTCATATTGTATGTATAAAAAAATAAATTATATTTATCCTTATAACAATAATAAATTTGTTTTTTTAATATTAGTTATAAAAAAAAAATTATTTATCACTTAATATATATATATATATATATATATATATATATATATATATATCAAGTAGTTATATGATAACGTTATAAAAATTACTACAATATAACACATGTAAGCCACACAAGTAACAAGTGTCATTTTAAAATATATAATAATATATAATTTTTGGTACAAAAAGTACATAAAATTTAAAATGATTTTTCTCATTGATTTTAAATTTAAGAATAATTTTTTAACAAGCACCTGTGCAATACACGAGTTTTGAACTAGTATAAAAAATATTTTTAAAAATATGTAATTTGATAATAAATGAAAAAGTGGGAAAAAGATCGTTTTTAATAAAAGCAACATAGATTTGAGATTGTTAATGGTTATAAGATATAAATATAATAGGTAAAAACAAAACAGGAAATGCTACAATCCTGTTATGGAACCATTCCGTCGGGATTTGTAACCGTCAGATCATCATGTAATTGTCATGGATAATTGTTCTAACGGTTACAAATCTTGACGGAATGGTTCTTTATGACGGAATCTATCTATATATAATAAGGATTAACATAATTCAATTTTAGAAACACTTTCCCATCAATTTCATTAATTATTGCCTAAAAATAGTAAATTAACACAAATGGAATCATAATCCGATTAAATCTTCTATTCCCTAATTACAGATTTATTTTTCTCTTTTTATGTATTCTGCCAAAAAAAAAAACAAGATAAAGTTATATCAATTAATCAACTAATTATTAAACAATATAATAATACATTTTACAAATTTATCAAAGTATAGACTCTCATATTAATATTCATAGCATTCACGGAAAAAAAGTCAATTTTAACATATTAATATTTTAATACGAATAAAGACCCAATTTAACTCTGCAAAAGTTTAATGTGTTGAATATTCAACAGTAATCACACATACATTTATGGTATAATAATATTTGGGTTCATATTGAATATCTCAAGTTATCAATTATGATTGAATTATATTTATAAATCTGTTTGATTTTTAAAAAGAATCTTAATTAACAATTATTAATTAAATATTTTATATTGTATATTGTATTTTAAATCAGTTGATTCCATAAAGAATCTTAATTAACAATTATTAAGTTGATTAATCTTTGCCAATATAATTTTTTCTTAAAATTTATTTCGTTGTATATAAAAGAAAAAAATTATTCTTCGAATTACTATAATTTACCATTTAAGAGATAATAACCAGATACATTATATGGTAAAAATTAATCATTTAAGTTGATTTAATTATTAATTAAATAGTTTTACTAATAGTAAATAAATTATATTAAAATATATTAACTATTCTTTAGAATTATATGTATATTATTGTCAACAATGATTATATCTTTTATCATTTTTTTTATTTTAATTTCTTTCTTTAATGAAACTTTGGTAAAATATATCTTCATTACAAAGTATGCTAAATAAGCTATAAATCCTTATAATGCAAATTATAAAAATATCTTGATTATAGAAGGATTGAGTTTTTGATATATTTTATATCAATGTTGTTTAATTAGTATAAAATTAAATTCTAAAAAACACGTGTGTATATATTGTAAAATATTTATACATTAATTAATTTTAAATTTATTTACATATTTTAAATTGATTGCATAAGTAAATAACACTAACGTGCATTAAATATTTTTCATTACATAAAAAAAAAACAAAAAAAAAACGTACAACCTCTATAACTTTTATAAATATAATGATATGATATGACAACAAAGTTTATAATAAAATAAAAGTTAAGTATTATATGATAAACAAGAATAAGTAAACCAAATATTTTTTTTATATCATAATATATACTAAAATTAGATTATATTAGTATAAATGTGTTAGCGAAATACTATATCAATTATTTTACAAGCTAGCCATAACATGCTCATATTTAATGTTCTGGCTTAAAAAAAATGTCGAGTAAAAGATGTGGAAAAATAGATTATAACCCTATTGTTTTTTAGACTTAACGCTGATTAAAAGAGGTGAAAAATAGACGAATAATTCTATTGCCTTTTAGACTTAAACATACAGAGCCTGTTAAAATAACTCATTTAATATCTATGTCCCGTGCATCGCACGGGGTACGTACTAGTAGTTCTGTAACGGAAATGTAGAATCTCCCAAAATTATATCCCACAAACAATAGAGTTTTTTTCTAAAAT